AGTTTAGAAGTCACCGTGCTTCACTACACAACCGGCAGTGTCTCAGCAACTCCCGAATTTGACGTGTCTTAAACGTGTTAAAGCCAGCTCAATTAGACCTGACTTCAGGCCATCAATTTCTTCAGTTAAATTGGATGTGAGATGTATGTATCGGGCAGTGGTTTTATCTTGTGACTTATGACTTCCTGAATTGTGGAATAGCTTACTCAAGTTAACTGTATTACCGGCATAACATTTGTGTATAATATACATACATTTATATATTCGTACTGCATATACATACATACATACATACAAGCATACACTCACACACACATATGTATGTGAATATATGTATATATATATATATATATATATATATATATATATATATAGAGAGAGAGAGAGAGAGAGAGAGAGAGAGAGAGAGAGAGAGAGAGAGAGAGAGAAAGAGAAAGAGAGAGAGAGGGGGACACACACGCACACGCACGCGCACGCGCACACGCCTATATGCACACACATACACGTACGCACACACATATGCATGCATATATATTACAGGTTGTAACCACTCGATACACTTCCAAAACATAGGCCGCCGTTCAGTGTTACAGAAAGTGTATGCGTTCGTTGACCTGATAACCAAGGTACATTAGAGCTGAAGGAGCGGTCACACTAGTCTGTTCTGCTCTGGGATCCCTTTACAGAGTGGGATACTTCCCTAGCTGTAAAGGGAAGCGAAATGAAAATCCTTCCTAAAGCGGCGCCGCTGCATTGGTCTTTCGCGCCAGCTAGAGAGGGAAAGACGATGCTAAAACAGAAATTGTAGTATAAATTATGTTATTAAACAGTGATTGGTTTATCATATCAGGTATACTTTTACTTTAAAAATAAGTAATATATTCTACAACTAATAATGATGTCAAAATGCCTCGTTGATTTTTTAAAGAATATCAAGACAAATGTAAATTTGACCAAGTAAAGCAAAGCAATGCCCAAGACACGACCTCACTCAAGGCATCGCTTTCGAATATGAACACTTTTACTCTATGTACTGCCCTATTTCAAATGCCTCTTGGTGGCCCCAAGATGCTCAAAGATACAGCATTAATGTTTTTATGTCACGTAGCAGTTTAGCAGTCTCTTTTTCAAATACATACTGATATCAGTATCAGTATTCCATGCCATTACCAGTCCCCAATAAATACAAAATCAAACCAAAGTATCCCACGACAGTCGTTGACGGCGGAAATGACTACTTATGTGTGCATGGATGTATGTATCCCCATCACTCCCTTGCTCGTCATCGTGGGGGAGCGGGAGCTTAGGAGACAGAAAGTGCTATCATTATGTTGGCGCTGAGGTGATAATTACGGATATCTGAATAATGGAAGGAAGATAAGGTATAAACATTATTTAAGAGAGGTTGAAGATTTTTGCCATTAACTGCTAGGCACTTTAATGGGTATCCGTTGTAAATTTTAAAAATTATGGAACCATTAGCAAAAGATCGCCCAGTTACATGAAATTGAACTGAATTCATAAAAGGAAGAACGATAAGAAAAAAATCAATTGGGATTATTAAAGAATCGAAGAGAATATAGATAAGATTACATAAGAAACACACACACACACACACACACACACACACACACACACACACACACACACACACACACACACACACACACACACACACACACAGAGGGGGGGGGGAGGATGGGGGAGGAGAGAGAGTGGGGGAAGGAAGAGATAATGGAAGATTGATAAGAGCGAAAGAGTCATAAATATTCCTTTCAACAAATATGATTTTGAAAATTGTCTAGAGGGACACTAGAAAAAAAATACGATGTCTCTTGAAAGCATTCATCGGTATGTACGGATATACCGAAGCAACTTCAGAATATCCGGTAGGAATATAAGTCGACAAGATGAAAAAAGCCATTATGTCCTTGTTGATATATATATATATATATATATATATATATATATATATATATATATATATATTTTATTATTATTATTATTATTATTATTTTTTTTTTTTTTTTTTGTATAGTCATTGCTGTACGTTACTTAGATGGGGGAAGGGGGTGGTAAAATACGAATGAAGATAAAAGATACATAGACGCAAAATATTCTACAAAAAATAGAAAATAAGAATATAATTGTATGAGCATTGTCTGCAGTTATATGATGATGATAATGGCAGCTGTAGCAGTGATAGTAATGATAACGTAAAGTGACATTTATCATTTCTAAACTGCATTTCTCATTTTCAACTTTACTATTTCCACCACGAAATTAAACACACTTCAACAGATCTATACAAACATCACATGTACTCCCATTCTTGAAAAATAACTCCGCATTACACCATATTATAAACATTTATACTCACCTTCCCTTTTGATACCACGCACGTAACAACGCTTCCTATTGGCTGGATTAGAAACGCGCGTTCTGATTGGTCGAGCTCCGCCAGATGAGAATCAGCTGCCAGTAATCAGCTGAGCCAAGTCACGCTGTCCTTGCTTTTATGTGAGTATATTTTCGTAAAATTATCATATTGGTTGTAATTAATTGTTTTTTTTTATGTTTTGGTTATTTATTTCTTTATGCTGTGTTTAATATAAGATTATATAAGTAGTGGGAGATAGAGAAAAAGAGGTCTGACTTTCTGCCCTGGTATTGTTTTTTTTCCCTTAAATGTTACAACGAAGCAAGAATGATATTGTTACGTATCTGATTATCTTTCCAATTTCAGTATAATCAGTATAAATCAATATCGAGGAAAAGTGGCATTTTGATCTTGATTTTGAATTAGTGGTACCTTTAAGAAAAGGTGCCATTGCATCACTTTTGTCCAGACACCAGAGAAATTAGGAATTCTTGAGCCTAGGACTGCACCCCCCACACACACACACACACCACAGCCCCAGAATATCCAGCAAAGGCTAACAAATCTCTGCTATATATCCCAAAAGAAGGTGGGCTGGTTCTTTTTTTTTTTTTTAATAAATCAACACAAATATGTATAAGCTTTTTATCTTGCCAGAATACACATTAAGGAGTGTTGTTGGTCTTTGCTGGAGTGCCAGAAGTGTGAAGGCCAAAGCTTGAGTCTTTGGAGTTGCTAGAGGATTTATTTTCTGCCCCCCCCCTTTGTGTGTGTGTGTGTGTGTGTGAGTGTGAGTGTGAGTGTGTGTGTGAGTGTGAGTGTGAGTGTGAGTGTGAGTGTGAGTGTGAGTGTGAGTGTGAGTGTGAGTGTGAGTGTGAGTGTGAGTGTGTGTGTGTGAGAGAGAGAGAGAGAGAGAGAGAGAGAGAGAGAGAGAGAGAGAGAGAGAGAGAGAGAGAGAGAGAGAGAGAGAGAAAAAAAAAACTGTGGCACTGAAGGAAATATCTTTAAAAAAAATTATGAACCTATTTATTTTAGATGCTATTTGCTTCCCACTCTACGTATTTAACAACACTGAAAATTTAAAAGGTAGTACTGGAAGAATAAAAAGGATGATTAATTAGATTGCATGTGATGAACTACACATCACAATCCCCAAAATCCTCATCTCCATTCTTAATCCTTATTTAGTATTGGAATATTAAAAATTGTATTTTCAAATCAAGTCCTTTAATTCTTCATTATCTTTGCATTTTTTCCCTAGACAAATTTTAGGATTGCTTAATTACATAAGTAGAGGTTTCAAGTAGTGTATTATTTCAAAATAATTTTGCCATACAAATTTTTATTATATTTGCATTAGATCACACTGATCATTTTGTACTTGCATAGCAGATATCCTATTGAAAAGTGTCACTTAACCTTTATTGGTTTTAGAAAGGTCTTTGTTCTCTTTATTTTGCCAAGATTTTCTGTTTTCCATCTAAATCATTGTAAAAGTTAATTTGAGCTGTGATAAAAAGCCTAGTCTAAAGTTCAGTCCAGTAGTTGTGGATTTTCAAGCAACGGTTGTGGCCTTCACGCCTTTGGCACACAGACAAATGCTAGTATATTTCCATCATGCATATTCTGGCAAGATTTAAGCTTGGAATTGTTCCTTACTTTGTGATAAATCCTGAGGCAGGTCTGCCAGTGTCAACAAATTCAGAATCTACAACAAGCACATGTAACATGATTACCCTCCAAATGGATTGCATAATATTGCAAATGTGTGATTCTTGTCATTGAAATTAACCTACTGCTTTTTTAGTTTGTAACAGTGCAGAAATGAAGAAAGTTAAAGTTAATCTAATTTTAAAGTTTCCCATTCATTAGAGCCTATTAAGTTTTCCTATACAGTAAACTACAAAAGTGTACATTTCAAAGGGAGTTGATAACCGTGTGTATTTATAAATCACTTGTATCACATACTAACAGTGTGTCTTTGAAGCTGGAGATATTTTTTTTTACTGTGTTACCTAGTATCAAAGATTAAGAACTGCTTGGCTATGACAGTTGCCATGTTGGCCAGACTCTGACATACGTTTGCATTAGTAAAATTAACCAAGCTTTACAGAATGGACCTTGCTACCCCAGACCTGCTGCTCTGTGGCAACCCTATTTTTCACTTTCATTTTATGCAAACGTGGTTTAACTATTTTCCTGAGTGAACCCACAGCACAGTCATTTGGAAGGCAATATTTATGATAGCAGAAAGATTAAGTGCCTCCCCCTTTGCCATAGGTAGAAGGTGGCTATTTCTTCAAGGTTGATTTTATATTAAAAACACACTTTGTGTATGGAGATTGATTGGCTGAAATTTTTTATAATTTTGAGAATGACATTGTGGTCATTCACTATCAGGTACCTATTATTTTGTATGAGTTGGTTACTCAAGGTATTTAGAAATCAGTTTATTCTGGGTGTTCCCATTTCAGAGCAGTTCATTACTAAGGTTTGTTTTACATGTAATTTACAAACTTCCCTTATTGCTCTCTTATTAAAACAAATGTGATAAGATTTCATTCGGTACCAAGAAATTATTATAGATAAGTGACCTTACTACCAGTAATAGAAAATGCAATATGAATTATATGCTGTAGGACTGATATTGTAGCACTTGCTTATCAGATTTTGCTTACATAGCAAATATGAATAAGAACAATTTTTGTAGTTAATAGAGATGTATATTTTAATCCAGTGACTGCAAAGGACATACTATACATACAAGTCTGCTGTAATTTTAGTCTTCTCAGTTGTTTACTCACAATTGCCTCCGAGAGTACCAAGTCGCCAAGGAGTCCATTATTGGTCCTATCTGTCCCCCGCTATTCCTTATATTTTAGGAGTATTCTCTTTTGTTTTTTAATATTATTAGTATTTTGATTGAATGATGATACTCATAATGTCAATAATGATGATAATAACATTGCCAGTATTTAGCGTAATAGCATAATTCAAGGAATGGGTAAATCAGGAGGGGTCACTAATGCCAACAGATGGACTCCTCAGTGATTTGCTCCTCTGGGGGTCTTCAGTATGCAACAACAACTAAAATAATAACAACAAAAAGACAAAAGAAATTTACAGAGGACAGTACATGTAACCACAACCAGTACGTTAAAACACTTTGTTAATCTGGAAGTCGGTATGCATCTGTGCTTTCTAAGAATGTACTTATCTTTGTTTTGATTAACCTATTGGTATTTGTACATGTGGTTACCACTGTTTTGTTTAGTCAGTTTTGGTGATTTTGGTGATGCATAGTTGTTGAAGGCATCCCTTGAATTTTAGGGGAAACGTTTTTTTATTTCATTATTGTCATTACTGTTATTAATATATCCTTAATGTTATTTTTGTTTTGTTCCTATTAGCAGTATTATTAGTAATGGAAGTAAAAACTTTTCTATCCGAAAATTCAAGGATGCAAACAGGTGAGCTTAGGTCGGCCTGGTGATTGACTGCTTAGTGACAGAATACTTTTTGGGTCATCTCCAAGTAAAGGAAATAAATGAATCGTGATATTGACAGACTGCAGTTATGTATAGCTTATATAAAACTTAAGACATTGTGAAAGTAAATCTTGAAGAGACACCTAATGTAGTTGTCAAGAACTAAAACCCTGCTTCATGGTCAGTCATAAATTTATGAATATTTTGCTGTGAAAGGTAGAGGACTGCTTAGTGTATAGATTTAGTTAGGCAACTTGATACTTGCCTTTAAGAAGACTTTTTTATTCCCCCTTGATATATTTTACTTTAATTCTTGCCAGGAAATTATGTTCTGGAGCGAAGTGAATAGATTTGTAGTAGTGCCCTCAGTAATTCTTTGCACAAATTTCTTTCCCTGCCTAACTGGTGAAACTGAAACTTTGCTGCCATTAGTTTGAGACAATATTGTACAGATTTTTATTAGTGTAATTAATATCATTAAAAAAAAAAAAAAAAAAAAAAAAAAGAAAAAAAAAAAAAATGTTCTTCGCTTTAGCTTTACGATAACTAGCCCAAGTGTCTCTTCAAGATTGATTTAATAAATAGAATAAGTGGAAACCCATGAGCATTAGAAAAACACACTAATTCCTTACTAGTATATTTGCTTATTAAATTTGATATATTTCTTATCAAAACTTTACTTCCCATGACCTTAGCACAAAAACATATATATATATATGTATGTATGTATGTATGTATGTATGTATGTATGTATGTATGTATGTATGTATATATATATATATATATATATATATATATATATATATATATATATATATATATATATATATATATGTATGTATGTATGTATATAATAGAAAAGTTCCTGGCATTTGTATCCCTTGCTGTTCATTCCACATTTCAGAATTAGACAAGCAGTTGACTTTCCTGATTGTTTGTGTGTTCTTCTAATGTTGGGCATGTATTGTTGGCAGAACCCCACAACAGCCGCAGCGATGGTGTGCATCCCCTGCATCGTAGTGCCCGTCCTCCTCTTCATCTGGCACCGCTTCCTGCAGCCCATCCTCCTCAAGTTCTGGAACCCGTTCGGCAAAGTGACCGACGGCGCAGACAAGAAGACAGACGGCAAGGATGGCAAGAGCGCGTGTCCGGCCTCGAACGGAACTGCGACGGCCAACGGTAGTCTGTCCTGCCCGTTCTCCGGGAAGGCTGCTACCCCTGCCGGTGACCAGTCGGAGGAGGGGGATAAAAAGAATGATTGATTGGGGTGCAGCGTTATGAGAGTTCTTGTCTCGGTTTGGGGTTTGTGAATATCTTCCAGGGATTGGTTTCATCATTCCAGACGGTTGGACGTGACGCATTCATACCCCGACGTGCGTTTTAGCATCCAGAGTATCCAAATATATTATATGTTAGCAAAATTAAAATATTAATCCTAATGTAAATGTTTAAAGTCATAAGTAATGATCATCAATTTGAAAGGGATGTTTATATTCAGGGAAATAAAGCTACCATGATTAAAATCACTAGATATTTTATATGGATGAATGAGATATAGTAATTGTATATTATAATGTTATGTACTTTTTACACCAGTCATTTCTTATTGTAGATGAGCTTCAAAAACTCTGT